AAATACCTAACAAAACTGTACTGAGCTCCTTCAAAATCTCCCTCTTTCCTATAGTTATATATACAGAATTTGTTCTGAATTCTTAAAACTTACAGTCTAAATCTTGTACAATGAGATCTGGCAGTTCTGTACCTAATTATGCCAATAAAGTGAATTTGAATATAGATAAGCCCATACATGGACTGAGACCGACAAAGATGGCAAGTGAGTAAAATGAGACAGGAAGTAAAAACATATACTGAAATGGATAATCAAAGAACATCTGACAGAAAGAAAAAGAAGGAAGGGAATAACTAGAGGGAGGAGGGCAGAAAGAAAAGATGGACTGACAGCCTCTGAAAGATAGAAATAGGAGTGAGAGGGAGGACTGAATGAGGTGGGGAGTAAATTGAGAGAGAAGCGAGTAGTAGAGTGAAAATGAGCAAAAGAATACCGAGAGAATGAGCGAGAGCCGTGTCTCGCTCTCATCAGTCAGAGCGTTGCTCATCCAGCAGCAGAGGCTGCCTTTGTCTCCGTGACGGATCCTCGCTGTCTGTATGCCACTTGCCACCATCACCATTACAGACTATTACTGATGTACACACACATACAGAAACACACACAGAGGAGAGAAAGCAATGCATTTAACAGATACATACATGCAGAAGGCATTTATGTAACAAGGACGCATGCAGATACTGTATATAATGTATTTATTGTGCTGGTGCCAAATACATATTGGAATGCAAAGACACACAAATAGATTTTACTGTCAGTTGCTTGATTGACTCATTGTCTCAGCACTAATCTGATCACAGGACCTGATATAGTTAGTTAGATTAGATAGATTATTAATCGTAAAGGGACAATGTCGCGCCAAAAACAGTCTGAATCGTATACAACCCAAATCAAGTATAGTAAAAATAGTAGGAAGAGGGAAAGTTAAGTGGCTTTTCAACTTGTTGGGTGGATGTTTTTTTCCTGAACATACAGTTGCATATTGCATTTAAACCTGGCTCACATCTGGTTACAAAGCGAGGAAGACCACACCAGATGTAGTCTGGCCTATTTGATAGCATTCCTGTGTGCATGTACACCTTAAAACATCCAGATAGAATGTGTGTTAGTACAGTACCAGGTATGAAATGGGTCTATGCTTACACAAATATATGTTAGACCTGTGCACTAGACACACGCGTTCAGATACAGACACACCGTGCACGACATTCTTAGCAAACATTCACAGAAGCAGGCTGTGTTAGCCGCCTGACATACTGGTGTTTATAGGCACACAAACACACACATGTTGAAAGTGATTGCATATACTGTAACACCTATATACTGTTTGCACACGCTCACTCTCTTTTCTTTCGTTCATTACCACCAGCAGCCTATGCAGCTACAGTGAGCAACAGATGTTCTGTGGGAGATATTGTGCAAGACCGAACGTTAATGTGCGCTGTGTATAAAATGCTAACAATGCTTTTTCTCTTGTGTTTGCCTCCACAGTACTATGAAATGTCCTACGGTCTCAACATTGAAATGCACAAACAGGTAAGAAAGATGATACTTTGAATTTTTTGTTTTCTTGACGTTGTCGGACTGATATATACATGGAGGTTGCGTGTCTGTCACTTTCTGTGTGGAAGTTGCATTGATTTAGTAAATGGGAGGTGGTGAATGTGTTATTTTACACAGACAAACATGGTGTACCAGTGTGTCATTTTTTTTTTGTTTACACCATATTTTATTACTTCTGTCGTCTTTTGTGGCCTTTATTTACACTAAGCGACATCTATATATGTAGATGAGGTGGACAAGTTATTAGAAATACATTTCAGTTGATACACACAAATGACTACAGGTAATTTAATCAGAAACGATATATTTTAAGTAAGGTACTATTTAGTGCAGGGTTATTGTAACATTGCATTGTACAGGTGTTTTTTTTTTTTTTTGGTCACTTAATGCACAGTATATTGTATTGGCAGGATAAAGCAGGATCTGATTCAGCTTAAATTATAAGATGATGAGCTGAAAAAGAAATCGTAGTTCAACTTTGTACCTAAAAAAAGGTAGGATGAGAAACAAGGCTATGGCTTTAATAACATTTTTTGTTAAGCAAGGGCCTTGCTTTTCCTTTCTTTTATTTGGCAGTTTAATAATAAATATGCAACAAGTGGCTTCAACACCAGGCCATGGACGACTGATTTAATTAGTTTTAGTATGGGTCACTGCAGAACACTGTGGTTTACCACTGCGTACCTTTGAGTGGAGTACAAATGCAAGTACTGTAACATGAAACCAGAAGTTTAAATACACACCCTGAGTGTTTTGTTTCATTTTTGCACAGTTATGTTATCACTGTTGATTAAATGTTTACTTATGTGTTTCTTCCTGGTTATTCTCAAGCAAAACTTGTAATAGCTGCTGTAGGCAAGAGGAGAAACAATTACTGGTTCGAGAATTACAAAATAATGATGCTATTAAACTAGGCAGTAACCATAGCAATCATCAGTGTATGTTTTACAGAAGTGGTGGTGACAGACTGAGGCTAACTGACACTACAATAGATGTCAGCAAGGCTTAGGTTACAGCATGGGATGGTTTGGACTGGTGTGTAAAGTCACCCGCTTGTTCTTCAAAACAGTGTAAAGACCATACACCTGGTTGAAGAGCAGGGTAAATTGGGTGTCATTTTCATTTGTTCTCACTGAGGTCCTGTACGCTTGATTAAAGACATATCTGATGAGAAATGTGTGCTCCTAGGAGCTGGTGACTGCTTATCAGTCCCTACATTTGCTCTTGATTTGGTGTCTCATTCGGTACTGGAGGAAAGGAAGACAGCCAACTTTCCGACTGAGCGACAGGCATGCAACAAGGTAAATGTCCAGACAAACAGACAAAAGGCAGACAGATAGCTGAACAGAACTCATGTAAGTAACTTTGTTGACAGAACTCCATGTAGAAAGATGGACTCATTATCCAGTTTATTGGCATTTTCCTTTAAGGTGCCTGTGTCTCCCTCTTTATCTTTTTTCACTTTCTGAAATGAGCTCCCAGTATGCCCTCAGTGCACATTTAGAAAGCAGCTCAGTGTTTGAAACAGTCTCTAAAAACGCCTTCAAATGAAAGCCACTGCACTTTAACCTCATAATCATAGCGTCATTTAGCTATCAAAGTAATTATAGCACAGACATATCAAACAGTGGGTTTTTGTCCAAATACTGAGTGCAATGTACGTACTAACTCCAGACACCAGTACTGGCTGAAGTTCTGTCCAGTGTCAGTATCAGCTTTGTTAAACCTCAGTTCATATCCCCGTCACTGTAATGTTCTTGTAATGTGTTATTGTGTTCCAAGTGAAGCAGCTGTCACAAATGCCCCATTACATTTTGTTGAAATACTGGCACCTATTTTTGATTCACATTGTTCCAACAGAGTAGCATAAACAAACACACAGCATGCAGTAGTTTATTCTATTATGATCAAATTTTGCAGGCGAGCCTTGGCTCTGAAGTGCTGCTGTTGGTGGGCTGGTGGATGGGATTCATGATGTGGATAAAGAGTCTGTACAAACACCTTTTGTGTAACAGCTCCAGACTATTACAGCACATTGAAACTGCACAGACTACTATACAGCACTATGGAGCACCCAGAAATTAGTTTGGGTCTCTATTTCATGTCAGGTTTCTAGGATTATAAGAGGAGAATGCATGGATACAAGTAGTCAAAGCTTCACATCTAAAATTCAACTAAAAAGCCAAATCTGCTTAATTTACCAAAATAACAGGGAAAGTAAGCAAGTAAGATTATAATATATGTAGCACATGAGAGGTTATTCACTGTGTAGCAGTGAAAAGGCCGTGTCTTCTTATTGTGTCAGTCATGCATTATGTTTACAAAAATTATATAATGAATAGCCTGCAATGCATCTTAATAAAATATAAAATTTAATTCAAATGAGGACAAGATATGTTGGTTATTCAGGTCCTCAGCAGTGCTGAATATGTCAGCATAACTCTTATAGCTAATTTTTCTTGTTGTTCAAGTGTTGTTGTTTTTTTTTGGGGGGGGGCAGCAGAGGGAGAACGAGACTAAAGAAGAAACAGATTAGACCATTGGAAAAACAACTCTGACCATTTCATAATGCTGCATAAGAGAGAGAGAGAGAGATGGATGGTAGCAAAGCGAGGCAGAACTGGACTGTCAGCTCTTGTTGCCAAAAAGAAGAAATGGTCTGGGGTGCTGGCTGCACCTCTGAGAGATGGAGTGAAGGGGGAGGAGGTGGGGTAGGTGGGTAAAATGACAGGGAGGCCAAGGACAAGAGAGTGTGGAAAATAGGAAAGGGGGGGATGACAGAAGGAGACCAGAGAGATACAGTACAGTCAGAATGAGAGGAAAAAATCAAATGAAAAAGGAGAAACCTGGCATCAGTCAGCAGGGGAAATGTGTGAGAGAGGAAAGGTAGAAAAATAGAAAAAGTATATGTTTGAGCAACATGGAGGAAAGGAGTATATGGAAAAAAGAAGGCTGGCAATAAAGGATAAGACTAGAGGAGGCAGGAGAGTCAGTGAGAGAGAAATATAGTATGAGACAAATAGTAAACCAGTTCTTAAAGTCTTGCAGGTAGAAAAGGAATTTGACAGAAACAGAATAAAAATAAGAATGTGGGGAGAGAGCATGGCAGAATATAGAACGAAGAGACTGGTATAAGAAAGGATATCAAAAAGAATGTGATTAAAAACAGGAGATGGCATGAATGAACTTGAGAGGAAAAGAAAGAGGCGGATAAAGCACAAAAAGAGAGGTTGTAGAAAAGATGTTACAAAGGGCGATGGGTTGGAAAAAGTGGGATAGTTTGAAAAAAGAGTAAGATCATTTAAAAACGAGGACTGAAGATATGAGACTGCAAGAACAAAGTGAGCATGATAGAGTAAAAGGTAGTTAAGAGGGAAAAAACTGAGATGATGGAGAGAGCTAATGTTGGAAAAAGAGAGAGAGGGATAGAGATTAATTGAACGGATGAAAGAAGAGAGGGTAAACAGGAAGGATGGAGCTTTTGAAGAGACAGATAAAGACCTCAGAGAACAGATGAGCGGGTAAAAGGAGTTGGAGATGAAAATGAGAGCCAAGAAAAGAAGCAATGGAGGCAAAAGGGAGAGAAAAAAGTGGGAGGGCAGTCAGAAAGAACGAGAGACATCAAGGGAGGGAGGGGAGCTTTGAGCTGCAGTGAGAAATAATGAATCATGAATAGATTTAACAGTATCTGGTCTTATTTCCTCTCCTCCTTCTCCCCCCGCCAGCTTCCTCCTAACATCCTGTTAAGATCACTGCTATTGCCTCTCTTCCCTCTCTGTCTCTTTTCTAACACACACTGTCATTATCAGTAGCAGGGCCATCTCATGTACTGGCATTAATTGAGCTGTAACAGTCATCTCGTGCCTTCCTTTGATCCTCTTTTGCTTTTTGCTTCTGTCTCTTGCTCTCTCTTTTGCTGTTTAAATTTTATACTTGCTCTCTAACCCCCTCCCATACATCTCTTTTATGATTTTGATCTCCATTTCTTTTCTACTTCTCTCCCTTCTCCTCTTCTTCTCTGTCTCTTTTGGAGACAATTGTATCTGAATTATGTGAAGGCACAGGTAAGATAACATCTCCCCCTCCTTCTCTAAGCTGTATCAATACATTGAAATCCATGCACGCACACACCATCATATTATCTCACTTGGTTCACTTTCATTATCATATATACATATAATGTACCAGCTGCACCCCCAGGAGAGGAGGAGTGGAGGAAGCTATGAGGACTTTACTCTGTTCTCTGTGGTTGTTCTGTATTTGTTGATATAGCACTTCTGGGCCCTGGGTAGTTATTGCCTGTATACCCTGCTATGTGCAGAGACACAACATGTATATTCAGTGATTTTGTAATTCAGACAATAGTTAGTAGACGGCAGCTTACAGATAGGTGTTGTTGTAAGGATTATGGTGACTGGACTGAAGCAGGTTTTGTATTGACAGCTGATTCTAGCAGCCAGATAACAAGACGGTGGTGGGATGTGAAAAAGAATAGAAGCTTTGTTAGATTTGTGTCAGGCAAGGGGCAGCGGCAGCCTCAAAGCTGGTGACCAGAGTGCAGCCTGGGAAAATATAAAAATATTGAAGACAGGAAGTGAAAGAGATATGCTTTCCTTTCATTCAGCAGTTAACTTCAGACGCTCATTAAGCAAGACACAGAGCCCACAGTTACTCAGTGCCAGGAAAAGGACAGCCACAGTAACACCACAAAGCAGCTAAAACATGCCTATCTAGGATCAACATGGATTTATTTATTTATTTGTTGCATTTCAGGAAGACGTCCAGAATTTTGGTCTAAACCTACCCAAACTCGATATGCATAAAATAATTTCAGTCTGAACAGAATCTGATTATAAGTTTGAAAATGTGATCAACTCGAATGGACCTGACAAAGAAACATCAGTTCTGGTTGTGGCACAATGGGCCACGAATTAAAAACAGCCCTGAAAGAAACAGGTTAATATGAGGCCAGA